AGCAGCACAGCAAAGAGAGTTGCCCCTCCCAGGTGAATACCTAAGGCCCTTCCCCTTACAACTTAGCAGGTGCCCCAAGACAAAGAAATATGGCCCACATGAAAGAACACAGCAAAACCTCAGAACTAAGTGATGAGGACATTGCCAACCTATCTGATGGAGAATTTAAAGCTCTGGTAATCAAAATGCTCACAGAATTGATTGAGATTAGTCAAAAAATGAAAGAACAAATGAAAGATACCCAAAATGAAGTAAAGCAAAATATTTAGGGAACTACCAGTGACAAGAAGGAAACCAGGATTCAAAGCAACAATTTGGAACAAAAAGAAGAAATAAACATCCAACTGGATAAGAACAAAGAAACAAGAATCCAAAAAATTGTAGAGAGGCTGAGGATTCTCTGGGACAACCTAAAACATTCCAACATCCAAATTATAGGGGTGCCAGAAGGAAAGAAACACTAGCAAGAGATTGAAAACTTATTTGAAAAAATAATGAAGGAAAACTTCCCTAATCTGGTGAAGAAAATAGACTTCCAGGAAGTCCAGGAAGCCCAGAGAGTGCCAAAGAAATTGGACCCAAAGAGGAACACACCAAGGCACATCACTGTTAACTTAACCAAGATTAAATGTAAAGAGAGAATCCTAAGAGCTGCAAGAGAAAAGGAGAAAATTACCTACAAAGGAATATCCATAAGGCTATCAGCTGATTTCTCAAAAGAAATCCTACAGGCAAGAAGGGACTGAAAAGAAGTATTCAAAGTCATGAAAGGCAAGGACCTACATCCAAGATTACTCTATCCAGCAAAGCTTTCATTTAGAATGAAAGGGCAGATAAAGTGCTTCCCAGTAAACTAAAGCTAAAGGAGTTCATCATCACCAAGCCCTTATTACATGAAATGTTAAAGGGACTTATCCAAGAAAAAGAAGATCAAAAGAAGAACAATAAAATGATAACAAACTCACAACTATTAACAAATAAACCTAAAAGAAAAGAAAAACAATGAAAACAAAACTAAGCAAACAATCAGAACAGGAACAGAATCAGAGAAATGGACATCACACAAAGGAAGGTCAGTGGGAAGGAGGAAGGGAGGAGTAGGGCCGGAAAGGTACAAGGAAGAAGAAGCATAATTAGTAGGCATAAAATAGACAGGAAAAGATAAAAAATGGTATAGGAAACAGAAGACTCAAAGAACTTATAAGGACACCCCGTGGACATGAGCTAAGGGGGGAGAATGCTAGAGGGTGGAGGAGTCAGGGTGGAGAGAGGATAAAGGAAGAAAAAAATGTGAAAAGTGTAATAGCATAATCAATAAAAATACTATAAAAAAGATGAACTGTAATCAGCCATCTACTTAAAAGACTTCAATAACTTTTCCATATACACAGACATTAATTCCACAATCTGATCGTAAACCCTTTGAAGGAAGGAATTACCATACCATGTATCATCTCAGAAACTGACTTTTTCTCTGGAAGAATACATATTTCCAATTTTTGTATTGGTCAACAAATGCTGGTTAAGCATTTGTTGCTGGTTAACAAATACTGTTCTTTTTTTATTAAGAGTTTATCTTTTTGGAAGTGTTTAAGGTTCACAACAAAATTAAGAATGTACAGAGAGTTTCCATATACCCTACTCTCACACATGCAAAGTCTCCTCCATAGTAACATCTCCCAATGAGGCGATGCATTTATTACAATTGGTAGACCTAAACTGACACATAAGAATCACCCAAAGACCATAGTTTACATTCGAGTTTTTCATTCCTGCTGTTGTACATTCTGTGGGTTAGGACATGTGCATAATGACATTTATCCACCATCACCACATCCTACAGAGTATTTTTACTACTCTATAAACCCTCTGTGTTCCTCATGTTCTCTCTCCTCTCCTCCCCCAAATCCTGGCAACTACAGATCTTTTTATTCTCTCCATAGTTTTGCCTTTTTCAGAATGTCATATAGTTGGAATCAGATAGTACACAGTCTTTTCAGATTGGCTTCTTTCACTTAGTAATATGCATCTAAGGTTCTTATATGTCTTTTCAGGGCCTGATAGCTCTTTTTTTTTTTTTGGCACCGAATAATACCCTTTGTGTGGATGTATCACAATTTACATATCCACTCACCAACTGAAGGACATCTTTGCTGCTTCCCTTTTTTGGCAATTATGAACAAGGCTGCTGTAAACATCTGTGTGTAGGTTTTTATGTGGACATAAGTTTTCAGCTCATTTGGATAAATACCAAGAAGCATCATTGCTGGATTTTTTGGTAATAGTATGTCTAATTTTGTAAGAAAAGTAGCTGTACCATTTGGACTTGTTATTGTTCCAGATTTTGGACATTCTAATTCATGTGTAGTGGTATCTCAATGATGTTTTAATTTGCATTTTCCTGATGATACATGGTGTAAAATATTTTTCATATGCTTATTTACATCTGTATTTCTGTTTTGATGAGGTGTCTATTAAGGTCTTTGGTCCATTTTTAATCAAATTGCTTGTGTGTTTTTTATTGTGAGGGGGTTTTGGGGTTTTTTTTTAAGATTTTATTTATTTATTTTTAGAGAGAGAAAGAGAGAGAGAGAGAGAAACATCAATATGCGGTTGCTGGGGGCCGTGGCCTGCAACCCAGGCATGTGCCCTGACTGGGAATTGAACCTGTGACGCTTTGGTTTGCAGCCTGTACTCAATCCACTGAGCTATGCCAGCCAGGTATTGCCGAGTTTTAAGAGTTTCTGATTTTTTAACATGAAAAACAACATTTAGAGCATTAGTATTGATTAGATGACTCATTTTCAAACACAAAACCAATCAACTAAAAGCAGGCAATATCCCATAAGAAAGGACCATCCCACATCATGCAAATATGTATAGCAGTGATTTCTCAGTTCACCCCCAAAGGGAACCTACAGACACTCAGGTACCCATATACTAAGGGAAGGGGAACACTTCCTGGATACTAGGCCCAAGTTAAAATTGACTCAGGCATCTAAAAAAAAACACTGTTATGACTCCTCTGTTAAAGAAGGGATATATTTGTGTCAGATAATAATTAGAGTCCCTGCCCACATCTGTCTCACAGAGATTACATGAATCCATCTTATCATTATTTCATTATTTCTCAAATAAATAATTGGAATGGATATACTAAACATTCTACCATTGCTTAGTATATCCACTTAGTAAACCAGCACACTGATTTTTTGGTTTATAGAATCAAGAGTTACATCAAGTGGAAACATCTGAGACTACTTATCTACTCTGACAAGATAGTAAATCACAACAAGATAGTAACAATTCCCCCCAGGGGGAATTGCAGATTAGCGGCAACTTCAAGGACCTAAAAGATGTAGGGGTCACAATCTCCATAATATCCCTATTTAATTCACTAGTCTGGCCTTCGCAGAAAAAGGGTGTATCACAGTGGGTGACAGTAGACTACCACAAACTTAACAAAGTCATTGCTCCAGTTGCAACTACTATGCTGAATATGGTATCTTTAATGACAAAGATTAACACAGTGTCAGGTACATGATATTCAGCTATTGATTTGGCAAATGAATCTCTCCATATTTATCAAAAAGGAAGACCAAAAGCAATTTGAATTCATTTGGAATGTACAACAGTGAACATTCATTGTTTTTCCTTAGACCTATGTTAATTCTCCTGCTGTTTATCATAATATAGTCCAAAGGAAACTCTATTATCTGATCATCACTCAGAATATCACTTTTGGCCCACTATACTGATGAATCATGTTAATCTGACTTTATTGGTAAGAAATGGCAAGCACTTTGGATGCATTGGTAAGACACAAGCTTTAGAAGGTGGGAGAACAAATCCTATAATGATCAAGGTTCAATCTGAGTGAAGTTTTTAAGCATTCTGAAGTATGCTGGAATATACTTTTCAAAGTAAAATATACCTCCTTTCACTGACAAAAAAAATTACATTACTTGGTGGTTCTCTTTAGGTTTTGGAAGCAGCACAGTCCACAGCTGGGAATACCAAAATAACTCTTACTGAATCATGCAGAAGATTGATTGCTTTGAATGGGGCCCAGAGTCAAACAGAGCTTTGCCACAGATCCAAGCAGTGGTAAAGAAAACATCATGAGAAGTCTGGCATGCTAGGAGAGTTGTGGTGAAGATCTCTGTAGTTTTAGAGAAGGCCAGACCATCTGTGGCAAAGAAAAATATATACTTCAAAAGTATATTATTCATCTTGGCCTGCTACTTGGCCCTGATGGGAACTGGGTATAAGACCATGGGACATCAAGTGACCATACAGACAGAATTGCCTATCATGAGTTGGTTTCTATGAAACCAATGAAGAAATAGAGTTGGGAGAGCAGTAGCTTCTATTGTCAAATGGAAGGCCTTCAAATTCTCATGTCAAGATCCTAACCCCCAAAGACCATGGTATTAAGAAGTGGGGTCTTTGGGAGGTTTGTAGGTCATGAGGGTAGAGCCATTGTGAATGGGATAAGAAGTTTTACAAAAGAGACCCCACAGAGATCTCTTGCCCCCTCCATTACATGAAGACACAACAAGAAAGCACCATGTATGATCCAGAAAGTGGGCCCTTCCCAATCATGGAATTTGCGGGTTCCATGATCCTGGACTTTCCAGCCTCCAGACTGTGAGAAATAAATTTCTGTCATTTATAAGCCACCCAGTCTATGGTATTTTATGATAGCAGCCCAAATGAAATAAGACATCCAGTTTGGGGCTTAAGTTCAGAGGGCAAAAGTCAGCTGAGGTAACAGATGTCCCATGTCACCTACCCTTATTGCATTGACATCATTTCTTCAACTCACACCTATGGCCAGTGGATAAAAAAGGAAAAAGTCTGAGCTTGGCTCACAAATGGATTGGTTTGCTAAGTGGGTAAAATACCAAATGTACTAGAGCGGCACTACAATCTCATTCAGAAGTGGACGTAAAAGATGATCGTGAGGAGGAGTCTTCCAAATGGGCAGCATATCTGACCTTTCACTTTGTGTGGAGAAAGTAGCCCCAAGTGAAGATCCACAAAGATTCATGGACAGTGTAGAATGACTTAGCTGGTGGATCTGACACCTGAAAGAAATAAGGATGGAAAATCATAGATACTTGAGAAAGAAGCATATGAATGAACCTATACAAGTGTCCACAACATGTGAAGATATTTTTATTGCAATTAATGCCCACCAATTAGCATCCAACACAAAAAAAGTCACTAAATAAACCAAATGGATTCAGTCCATAGATGTCAGACAGTCTCTCTCTTAGCTATCCCAATGTTTCCACAATTATCTCATGAATAGAGTAGTTATGGTTGCAGAGTTGGAGGCAATTCCTGGTCTTAACAGCCCAGGCTTACTCCCACCGAGGATTATATACCTACTGCCACCATTGACCTGCCAGCAACAGAGACCAGTGCTGAGCTCCCTGTCTGGGTCCAATCACTCACTGAAAACTTCCAGCCACTTGGAGACAAGATAACCTCTTGTACCTTAACTTGTAACATGTGCACTGGGTATGGGTTACCTTCCCTGCATGCAGTGCCTCAGGTAGCACCACTCTCTAAGGTATCGTGAAGTATCTGCTCTACCTTCACAAAACCACACATACCAATATCTGAAACCAAGAGACCCATTTTCAAGCAAAGAAAGTACTGTCATGAGTAAATGAGTATGTGATTCAATGATCCTATCCAGCAAGGATATGGCCTCTCGAAGGCATAGCTGAGGCTCAAGCCTGAATATGGTATCTTGTGAAGATGAGGTGCTGTATTTTAGGATGTGATAACCCCATTAAACTGAAGCTATTATGTTGGTAAAATATGTGGGTGCAGAAACCAAGTGGTAGAAGTCAGAGTGGCACTGCTCATCACGACCCCCAGAGACCCACTTGAAGAATTTGTGCTTTGTATCCCTGTAACTTTCAGCAGCGAGGCTCCCACTTGAAGAAAGATATCATTATACTAAAAAGCTAGCCCAGTAGAAGTGACAGCCAAAAGTGGAGGGATCTAGAATGAGTGGTGGAGAATGAAAATAGAAGGGTCAATTACAGCCTTTGAGATGCACTATAGCATCAGGTCCACTGTCCTGCTAACACTCCCTCTATAAGTTTTCAGAGATTGTAACCAAACAGAACCCTAGAGAAGCTGTGCCTGGATGGGGCAAAATTAAGGTAAAAAGCCAGTGTTTCTGAGTGATGCAAGGGAGAGTCAGTAGTGGACACCATCAATGTCTAATCTACATACCTTTCTAGCTGGTGTGCTCTTTTCCCAGCTCTTGTGTTGCCTGCTAATGGCTCACAGCTGCCTCCTTCTGGGAAGCTCCTAGTCCTCAAACTAGTTCTGCCCTAACATACCCAGGAGTGGGAGGACTTCAGCCAGTGACCAACTAGCAGAGTATACAAAAGTCCAGCCCCTGACTTCAAGGTGGACCACATCTGTAGCACAGTTTGTGCTACCCAAGCTTCCTTGTGGAATCAGACTGAAGCCAGTCTCTGAGGCCCCATGCTTGCCTAGCTCTTTTCTCTGACCCGCAGCACTTCCCCCACTCCCCCTCTCTCAAGTGTGCTTCCCTCAGTACATTACTTGAACAGGAATTCCTGTCTCAGGCTCTGCATCTAGGGAACACAACTGAAGATACCATTTATAGAAATTAAATGTGTATGTGTGTTAACAGCAGCACACATGTTAAGGAATACACATAAATTAAAAGGGAGTACATTCAACACATTAGAATTGCTATGGTGGAAAATAGGGGTAAAAGAGAACAAATAAATAAATAAAATAAAAGAGAGGTCTTGCACCAACCAGTGTGGATACCATGACATGGATTGAGGACTGGTATAAACTCTACTCTGTACACCTGAAATCCAAAATAAACAAATAAACAAAAAGAGAGGTAGTTAGGTGATTTTTTTTTAGCAAATTCTTGTCTCAAAGTGTACAAATGCATTCTGATAGAGGCTCAAATTGTTTTTTCTCTAACATTTATTATTTGAGTATTTTTTTTACTTCCCAAGAGGGTAGAAAAGATTAAGAAAGGTAAAATCCCAGCCCTGGCTGGCATAGCTCAATGGATTGAGCACGGGCTGCGAACCAAAGCATCGCAGGTTTGATTCCCAGTCAGGGCACGTGCCTGGGTTGCAGGCCACAGCCCCCAGCAGCCCCCAGCAGCTCTCAGCAGCCCCCAGCAGCCCCCGGCAGCCCCCAGCAACCACACATTGATGTTTCTTTCTCTCTCTCTTTCTCCCTCCCTTCCCTCTCTAAAAATAAATAAATAAAGTCTTAGAAAAAAAAGAAAGGTAAAATCCCAATTGGTTTTTATGGGTCTGGGCCAACCTTATTTTCCAGTATTCTAAATTTAAAATGTGTAAATAGTGCTGAATTTATTATTTCAACCAGGTCTTACTTTTTCCTCTTCCTGCTCAGCATCTATCTATCACTGACCATCCCACACTCCTACCCTTTACCAGGAATAATTTGAAAACTTTACAGTCAGTATCAAAGCTACCAGAAGCATTTTGGTCTGAGTTCTTCTCTTTTGACAAGTTCTAAAAGTAAGCTGTAGATCACAAACACAAACACATAAAAACAGAGAAACAAATTTTACCATAGGAACTAAAAAATGTATTTCCTTCAGAATGTGTTTTGCATGTTTTTGATATCTCCATAATACTAGGCAAACACAATGTGTGAGCTACTTTAATTGTATTTGCCACTATGCTTTTCTCTAAAATTCAATTAGGTTCAACTAATAAATAATGAATAATGATCACTGCTCTTCGTTACTACAAAAATCATTTAAACACAGTCTATTTATTTTAAAAGTTTGTAACTGGTATTGAAAGAGAATATTTGAATATACTGGGTCTTCAACTTTTCGAGGAGAAATGTTCACACTCTTAATTTCTAAAAGTATTCTCATCTCCATTCTTTTAACATTATCTCCATGATTTGTATAAGAAAGTTAAAATTACTTTCCAACACAATGTTTCTTTGCAAGTCTGCTTTGTAAAGGTTTTTATATTATCTGTAATCTCTTCCTTGCCCCGAGAAACATGTTTATTTATCCTTCCCTGTTGGCTTGCTAAACTACCCAGCAAACACCCTGACAGATACACAAATGTTTATAACAACAAAGCTCTTTCTCTTAATAGCAGAAGTGGGTTGAAACTGTTGGGATGACCAAAGATTTCATCAGAATAGGCAATTAGCATAAGAAACTCTCCAGGTTTTTGTCAATAAAAGTGACTAAATCATTACTTGAGGATATTGGGAAGGGGTTCTGCACTCTGCTTCTGGGTCAAAGACCCAGAGTCCCACCTACTCCATAGGTATATAAAGAATCACACTGTTATGCCTCCTGGTATCTTCTTTATAAAGCATAGACATGGACTTCAGGGATGAAGTTCAGACCCCTAGACTAGGCTCACAATCTGACCACTATCATACTCACACTCCCAGTATGACTTCTGTTTTGCAAAGTTCTATTTCCTTATATTCCCAGGCACCCCATGGGATTTCACCCCTGAATGGTACTACATACACTCTTCTACAGATGCAGTGCCCTGCCCTGTCGCTCCACCTGGTGAACCAGATTGATGACTTTATGCCTACATCTCTCATTTCCTATGGTCTCAGAGCTATCAAAGTATTTGTGGGTCAGAAAGATGTTGGTGTTGAGAAAAAGTTTTTATTCCCACTTGGTCTACAGCTGGTCAGCAGGACTGGCGGCACAGCCCTTCCCCAAGTCATCCTCAACTCAGACCACTCAGGAAGAAACTCCCAGGCAAACATTTCCACTTATTCCCCTCACAGCCAGAGGTGGTTGCTCATCCTCTAAATTTCAATACCAACTCCAGCTCTTTCTCACATCGTCTCTCACTTGCACATGCTCACTTTCTCCACCCTGGGGGTAGTCGTGCCCATGTATAGGAATTGCTGTCCTCTCAATCCCCATGTGTCATTTTTCATTCTAGGATTTATCACTAGCCCAAGATTAACCTGAAAAGTTAACTTGCCTTGCTAGGAAACACTATACTTGACTGAAATTCAATCTTAAAAGTCAAGGGGCCTGGAATTAGCTACTTTGTTCTGTGTAAACTCTCCCATATTTCCCACAACACCCTCAAGTAAAAAGTGCAAGTCTTCAGTGCAAAACTCACAACATTTGACTAGATATAAGAGCAGCAAAGGTCCTAGGGCCAGCTTGATCATCTCTGCCAAGAGATCCCAGGACAAGTGGTTCATCTCAGGAAGAGCTGAGCTGTCCTCAAAGGCCTGATCCTTCTCTCCTCTGAGCAGACACCAGGAGACAGCTGGCAACACCACAAAAGTTAGAAGCAATGAAAGCTTTCATGGCTCACACCTTTACTTCCTTAATTCCTGTCTTGCTTAGCCCTCTTACCCAACAGATTCACTCTTCCCTTCAGATCCTCCCACTGTGCCCTCTGGAACCTTGTGGAATCATAAACAAACTATCCTCTGTACTAGCTTCTTAACTAAACATTTCATCTCCCACTTCCTGTACAGAAACTGTTTTTTTTCTCATCGGACATCATGTTCCCTGTAGCTTCACAGGGGACACAGCATCAGCTCACTTCCCCAGGGCCACCTGCAGACCTCTACACCTCTCTCTAACTTTTATAGCAACATCTTCCTCTTCTCTGGCAACATCCTCCACATCACCACCACTTTTGGAAGACATAGCACCCATCTTTTTGTATTTCTCCACCCAAGATCTGATGTCACCCTGAGCAATATCAATGTCCACAGGGACTATACAACACCATGACCTCTTTCCTTGACCTTCTCATTGCCAGGGACCCACATATCCAGTTCACTCACAGCAACATTGGACTTGAAACAGGCACTCAAAGAACTAAATTAAAGCCTCCTGCTTTGGCACTACAACCTTTGCTCCTGCCCACTCTTTGATGCAGTTACTCCTTTTCTTGTTCCTCTAGTTCCTCTACTTTCTGGGTCCTCCAGTCCCACAACCCCTCCACTTTGTTCCAAACCACCAATCCTTCCTCGCTTCCTCATTTTCCTTCTCAACATTAGCCTTAGTATTTCACTTCTCCAGCAATCACTTGCCAATATTCTCAGCTCCCTTGAAGATTATCTCTCCAAAGTACCTATGTGGCAAAGAGAACCTTATTTTTATTGTTTTATTCCAGTACTTAACTGGGGATACAACATGGTATATTTATCTTACATGTTATTATTTAACCTGCTAGCTTTATTATATTTTATTAACTTTTATGTTACTTTTCCTTTTATCATTTATGAGAACTTTCTTAGCTCTGTTCTGTGTAAAATACCATGTACTTGAAAATGCCAGGCAGGGAGGATGGTGGGGATACACAACAAGAAGTGGGTTTGTAGCCAGATTGCCAGCCTAGCCAAGCATTCTGAGTTAGGCACTTCCCATACTTGTAGCATGGGGAAAATTAGCTAATTTTTAACTATACAATTATAATATTTTACTTTCCTTCTCCATTTTATAAATGAAGCAGGCATTGAAGGTGAGAATGCAAGAACTGGGTGGGAGTCAGCTGCAAGAAAAGTCTTCTGCCTTGTGTTCCTACCTTCATCCTATCAGCCTCCTTGGTATATGCTTCCATTCAGGACCACCACAAATGCTTGTGCAGGCAGCACCCTGCAAAAGGACACCTGGCAAGGAGGCGAGTAGGGGCTGGAATTAAGAGTGTATGCTCTGCTCTCTGGCCTGTGTACTCTGGTTTGAAGGAAGAAGTGCCTTTTTTATTTAATACTAAGATATGATATAAAGTACCCTTTCCCCATTCTCTCCAGTGCTGAACCTCCAACTCAAAAACAAGTAAGACAAGTTGATTCAGTCAAACTGCTGCCGAGTTCCCTCTCTTCTCCCCTTTCCCCACTCCTTCCATTCCAGAAAAAAAAATTACCAAAAGAGATAACTATGTGTAGTGTCTGGAGTCAGACATACCTGAATTTGACCCCAGCTCAAGTGCTTATATGCCAGGACCTTGGACAAATTAATTTGTCCACTTTAAATCTCAATTTTATCATCTGTAAAATGGATGATACTAAGTTTTTATAAAGATTAAAGGAGATTCAGGTAGTGTAGCCCCTCCCCTAGTATAGTATCTGGTGTATAGCAGTTATCTAATAAATATTTGCATTTAACTAACAAGCAAGCAGGATAGAAGCATGGATGGATAAATAGATAGATAGATTAAGCAAAACATACAAGTTTTGGATATCTCCAGTCACTCTGCTTTTAAGAAGTGAATGATATGTGATATGCATGACATTTCAGGAGAGATTCCTAAGAAACCAACAAGGGAGAACATTTTTGATAAATGGCCTTATTTCTGAAATTTCCTTCATTTATTTTGCATGGCTGAGGCAGGGTTTTATTACTATAAGACAAAAAATAATCTGTATTATGGGGAATTATCCATCATTCAAGTCTCTAAAATTTTACACATAAACTCAAAGACTTTATGCATTTTATGAAAAAATAAGTAAATGACTAGCATTGTAGGTGACTCGATTTTACTAACAACTTGTTCACAGTGACATCCTAGTTATTATAAAAACCCTACTTATCCAATTTACAGATACATAGTAGATGGGGAGAGTAAAATGATATGAATTAGTTTGAGCAGAACATTAAAAAATGAGTTACGTAGTTAAAAAAAAGAGAGAGAAACTCTTCATGTTTCATACTTGTTTCTATAAAGGACTTTTACAGTTGTATATTCATTGAATTTTAAGTGTTGACCAGATAAATATGCTTATGTTCCTGAATTTAAATACAGTAAAGGCATGGTGATGGGATGACAGCAAAAACTTGTGTTAACTATGAAATAATCACTGCCATATTTAGATGTTCTGCTTTAGCTAGTCTCTCCCTCCCAACCACACACTCATATACACACACAAAGACACACAGAAATAAGCATGGACACACTTAGATATACATCTATACCTGAAGAGCAAAGGAAAAAATGATTGAAAAACAGACTCCACTTTCTAAAGTAACACATTATACCTGTAATTATGATTTTAAAATACCTTGTCAATAAAAAGTGAGTCCACTTCAACCAATAGTCTACAAAATGGTGGGCTGGTGTTTGTATCTAATTAATGCAGTCAGAAACAGGAGCTGGTGCTCTCCATCATGGGACTAAACACACACCTGACCCAGGAGTCAAGGAAGCAGAAAGAGGATGGGGAAGAAGGTGAAGCAAGCAGCCGGCCTGGTTGCTGCCCCACGCCGGCACCTGACAACATGTGTCAGATGCAGTACCATGTGCATTAACCTTCTGAATGCAAAAGTAGTGTGGAGGCTGCTGCTTTTCCATCCTCCAAATCTTGCAAAACATATCTCTTGTGGCCCACCTCAACTGGAAACATATAGTGAAGGGAATTCTGAGAAACAAAGTTAAGTCTAGCCAAGTTCACATATTCCAAAGCCATTGTAGTCCACCTTTTGTCAACATGGTACCCATATATGCCTTTAAATCATATTTAACTTCTAAATAAAAACAGGAACAAAGTCCTGCTTCCAGCTAATATGATAAAACTCTTCCATGCACAGCTGAACATAGCATGTGAAGCCCCTTTACCATCTTTAAGAAATGTTCATTCAGCTCCTGATCCATGCAGGATGAGAACTAGTGTTCCCCAATCATTCAGCTTAAAGGTCTCCAGCTCAAGGGTTCCTTTGCTTAGAGTCTGGCAATGGCATGGGATACTGCTAGATCTCTGCATGCTTCCTCAGAGCTGGGGCCACACACCTGCAGGTGTGCCACTGCTGCAAGTTTCCTGTAGTAAAAGCCCCTCTGAAAGGCCTGACATGGGCTCAGAGGGTCACCTCCCCTTGTTTGCCCAACAATATCTTCTTTCAAAACCCCTAAAGTTGTCTTGAAGATAATATTTTCATGACTGTTCACTAAAAAGATCTCAAGTAAATATGTAATGTCCCTCCAGTTACAGAATCTACACCTCTATCAACACAAAGACTTTGCAATCTTTCTGCTTTTTTCCTTCTGAAAATTGAATTTCTTTCTCACTGTCAGAATATGTTTTGAAAGAAATCATGCAGCCAGATCCCAGCAGCAGCTGCAGTGGCTCTTGTCTTCTCAGGCTCTTCTTGCTCTCTCCCTTCTGCTGGAAACAAGGCCCACAGTGTGGCTGTCTCTGATGGGGTCATCAAAGTGTTCAATGATGTGAAGGCTCCCAAGTCCTTGACACCAGAGAAGATGAAGAAGCGCAAGAAGGTGGAGCTCTTTTGCTTGAGTGAGAACAAGAACATCAGCCAAGAACAAGAGGGCAGGGAGATCATGGTAGGTGAGGTATACTAGATTGTAGACGACCACTATGCCGTCTTTGTCAAGATGCTGCCAAAGACTGCCACTACACCTGTATGACACAACCTATAAGCCCAAGAACAGCAAGAAGGAGGACCTTCTGGGCCCCTGAGTCTGCACCCCTTACAAGCAAAGTGATCTATGCCAACACCAAGAACCCCATCAAGAAGAAGCTGATGGGCATCAAGCATGAATTACAAGGAAATTCTGACAAGAAGGTCAAGGACTGGGGCACTCTGGCAGAGAAGCTGGCAGGCAGTGAGTGCTGTTATCTCCCTGGAGGACAAGCCTTTGTGAACCCCCTCCAGCCTCCTGCCTGCAGCATCTGGCAGGCCCAGACCTGCCCATGGGGTTGCAGGCTGCCCACTTCCTGCCAGACTGAGGGCAGCAGGGTGAGGGCAATCCCTTCATCTAGTTTCCAAACAGCCCCCTCAGCCCCTGAACTTTCATCCTCCTTCCACCCCTGACAGTTTTGGCCTTCCCAAACTATTTTTGATCCTCTGATTCCTCTTGGGTTGAAGCAAAACAGGTGCCCCCATAGTCACTCCAGTATGGGAGGATCCGTATTATTTAATGACAACCCAACTCTCCACCCGATCCTCCTTTTCCCACGCTGTCAACCTCTACCACAGCAGTGACTCTGTGCTTATGTGTTTAGTTCTGGGCATAAGTGGAATTTTGTAGAGATGACCCCTCCCCACACCACCTGGCTCTCCTCACCTTTTCTACCTGGTCATGGCCACTCATGGAAGGAGGACCTTCCATGATGGTAAGGGACCATCGATTAAAAAAAAAGAAAAACATAAGAATAACAGACCCACTTAATAGGAAGAAAAAGAAGAAAAAAAAAGGACTCATGCAACTTAACACACACACACACACACACATCAAACAATCTAATTTCAAAACCGGGCAAAGAACCTAAAGAGACACTTCTCTAAAGAGGACATACAAATGGCTAGTAGGCATATGAAAAGATGCTCAACATCACTAATCATCATAGAAATGTGAACTAAAACCACAGTGAGATATCACATCATATCTGTCAAAATGGCTATCAGTAAAAAATAAACCAACAAACAAGTGTTGGCAAGGATATGGGAAAAGGGAACCTCCACGCACTGGTGGGAATGCAGATTTGTGCAGCCACTGTGGAAAATAGTATGGAGTTTCCTCAAAAAAATTAAAAATGGAAGTACTTTGTGCCCCAGTGATTCTGAAAGATTCCAAAACACAAACTCTAAAGAGTATATGCACCCCTGCATTCATTTCGGTGTTACTTACAATAGACAAGCTATGGAAGCAGCCCAGGTGCCTGTCCATCAGTATTGGAGTAGACAAAGAAGTGGCACAT